AAATAAACCACACAGGCACTTCCTCCTCCCAGAGCAGCCTCCCTGAGAATCAGCCTGGGAGCCGCTTTCTCTCACCACCAGATCTGCTTAGTTTTCTGCTTTTTATTGCTTAGATTTGGTACAAATCTAGCCCGCAGAGGGGAGGAAGAACGAGCCTGCCACCCCCAGAAGGAAAGTCGGAGTCGGAGAGAGTCCTGCTCCTGCCACCCCACTGCCCCAGACGCACACAGTCCTGGTGGCCCAGTTCATACCAGCTTTAGCTTCTGTGCCCATTTAAGGGAATGGAAAGTCCAGGCAGCCTGCAAAGCAGCGCACGGGGCTCCTTTTCCCACCATACAAAGAGTGGAGTCAAAAACCCTTTCCAGGCCAGAGAGTGAGCTCTGTGCACAAACAAGGCTTTCCTAGCAGCTTCTTTTCAAAGCTGACAGCTGGAAGAAGTTGCTTGGGGATGTTTCTCTCTGAGTCTAATTCCAGTAGCAGAATAGGAATCTCTAGGATGCAAAAAGCTTTTCTGTTCATACTAGAACCCAGTAGCCCTCCAGGGCATGAAGTCCAAGGGGGATAAGCCCCTTCACACCAAACCAAACAAAACAGCATGGCTTTTTCCTATCTTGCATCTGAGTCTCGTGGCAATGGGCCGGATGGTTAGGAGCAGAGATCACTCGTAGATACCTAACCAAGCAGCTAGAGATTGTCACATTAAAGTCCCTTCAATCCCAGGCTTCTGCCGCAGGCTGGCTGTTCTTAGAAGGCCAACTCTTTTCAATGCCCTTCTCAACCAGGGACCATCCTCCCACCGAGCTGGTCCAATCCGATTATCCTACACAACAGCGTGGTAATTTCCCCTGCCAACCCCTGTGTCCTGTGGCTTGGCAGGATGCCTCAGGGGTGCAGGGATTGCCCAACACTTCTGCATATAGATGCTGATCCCCTTCGCTGTCTGTGGCCTCAGCAAGGAGACGGCGACCGCTTTGACTCATGCTTTTCCTGTCTCTTGCAAGAAGATAGTGACTCCCTGGACTGGTAGTTGCCCATGGCCTTAGCTGGGAGACTGTGGCCTCCATAGCCAGAGATGGTCCATGCAAACTCTCACTCCATGCAGTGCAGAAGTGGATCCACCAGTCCACGAATGTCCACCAGATTTTCTGAGCAGCAACCATGTTGTTGTAATGCCCATGCTCATGTCTCTTCTGGGGAGCATTCCAGGGCAGAGAAACTGCCCTCCGCATCCTCTAGCAGAGAGGAGTCATTCCTCAGGGTGCCCTGCATGGCTTCTGAGCCATTCTCCTGCTCATCCTGTTCCCGGATGTTCTGGAGACGTTCCTCCCTGGCCTCCATCAGCTCCTGAGCCCCATCACCAACCAGGGTGACAGTGTCAGCTACACTGGGGAGTGCTTTAACTGGATTATGGTCATAGGAGAAGAGCCGTAACCCTTTCAGGTGGGCTAGGTCTGGGAAGTCGATGATCTTGTTGCGGTCAAGGTCGAGGATATGGAGCTGGGACATGCGGAGCAGGGGCTGTGGAAACTCCTCAAAGCGATTCCCATACAGCCAGAGGCCCCGCAGGCCAGCCATACGTGGCAAGCTGCCCGGCAGTGCCCGGAGTCGGTTGTCACCCATCTGCAAGGACTGTAATGCAGGCATCTGGAGCAAGGCCCGCGGGAAGTGGTACAGGTAGTTGTTCTCGATCCACAAGCAGCGCAGAGTCTGGAGCTGGGCAAATTCCGCAGGGAGGCCAAAGAGACGGTTGCTGCCCAGGTAGAGGCGGGTGAGACGAGGCAGGCGGCATAGCGCCTCGGGCACCTCCTCCAGCTTGTTGAAGTCCAGCGCCAGGCTCTGCAGCTCCCGCAGCCCCTCGATCTCCTCGGGCAGCTCCCGCAAGCCCGTGCCGCTGATGTAGAGCTTCTGCAAGCTGCCCAGGGCGCACACTGGGCCTGGCAGCCGCTTCAGGTGCCGCCCGGGCAGTTCCAGCGTCTGG